GAATCCAACGAAAATATTAAACAGGAGCATCAAGTTTAAACCATATCATTTCTATGCTAAACTCTTGAAGGGATTTTCATCTTCTTCAAATACGTTTCGGCCCGGCATAGCCAGGTGGTTAGGGCACTCGACTCGCAATCTGTGGGTCGCGGGTTCGAATCCCCGTCACACCAAACATGCTCGCCCTTTCAGCCGTGGGGGCGCTATAATGTGACGATCAATCCTACTATTCGTTGGTAAAAGAGTAGCCCAAGAGTTGGCGGTGGGTGATGATGACTAGCTGCCTTCCCTCTAGTCTTACACTGCTAAATTAGGGACGGCTAGCGCAGATAGCCCTCGTGTAGCTTTGCGCGAAATTCAAAGGAAACAAACAAACAATAACCTTTATGTATTATTATGAGTTATGAAATCACCGATATTCAGTTTGGCTCTGAATTTGCGATACTATAATTGAAGTGTAGCGTAGTTACTTCCGTGTTTCGTACCTGTTTCCGACACGTGATGGGCAGAACACAGATAGCCAATTGTGTAGATTTGTGCTTAATTACAAACAAACAAACCTGTTTCTGAGTTTAGGTTACCCCAAAATTGCGCATTTATTTTGATTTTCACCACCTCGTTCTTAAATTTGCACAGGGGTCCGTACCTATCAAAGGCTGCTCCAGTTTGAAACGTATATATCAGTATCTCCTTCCTAGGGTCTTTCAAATAACAGATCATTCATGATGTTGAAAGCAAATTTTGAACACCAAGAATGATTTGTTGAAAGCAAATTTTGAAAATTAATTTTAAATTATAATATCTTAATATCTCTAGAGATACGTGACTATTAACATTTAGATATAAATTTATAAATGTTATTTTTTAATACAACTATCTGGGCAGTGTATACTTGACCATTAGACTTAATTTCGAAAGTTTTTCACGTTATATTAGTAGCCTAAGGCTGGAAACATATTCTCGAACTTACACAGTATAAGTTGTTTAATAACAACGTGATGATATTACAATAGCTTTAATAACTGTAAAATTATAAACCATCCTACATGATTTACCCCTAACAGATTCTTGCTTCTTTGAGTTATCAGGTTGAATCATAAGATTTAGAATTTGGTATTACTATCAATCGTAACAACATAATATCAAACTAGGAAGTCACCTGGTGATAAATTTATGGAGCGCTATGAACTGGTTATTCTTGTTATTCTCGTATCTGTTTGTTGGTAGCTAAGCGACCTGACGAGTCACATAAACAAGTTTAGTTTCGTGTTCGATTGTCGTCAATAAAAATGCTAAGTTTATATATGATATTGTATTGCAAGAACTTAGAGGTGGTCTAATGTTATTGTGGAATTCTTGGAGGTCGATCACAAGTATCAGTGATAATCCCTAAGCCTAAGGTTAGGTTTTGTTTTAAAACTAAGTATAAATGTATATTTATTTATACTAACAATTTTTAGGGCTAGTTTAAAAATAAAAGTTTAAGTTATGATAGGCCGTTGAAAATCTATTAGTATTATTGTTAATGTTCAGTCTTGCTTATTTTACATTCGCATATATTAACCAAACATGAGATATAAACTAAAGATAGTATTAACAATGAATCTCTTGGTCCATTAACTTAAACTTTAGTTTAAGTTTAAAGAAAAACACTCAAATCAAGCCCTCGTCTAACGTTTTGCATTGTATTTTAAATTACAAGGGCCTGTGGTGACATTGAACATTTTCTAATAAATTAACATTCCTTTTTTCCTTAAGTCGAGAGACTTCATTATTGAGGTAATCGTATTAGCTTAGGACAAAGAAGGAATAACAGTTATTTATTTTAGCAGTTTATAATATATTGATAACTCTCCTACTATCAGTGTCTAGTTTAATAATTTTGTTACCTTTTAAATTTTATATATATCTTTTACAATGCTAAAATAATTTCTTCAAATTAAAATCATAATTTCAAGTGAAGTAGCTCAAATAAATCAGTAACTGAATTTTATGTAGTCATAACTACATCAGTAAAATTATCCTTCTAACCTTACTCTCCTTTTTATTGATATCTATAGCATTTTAGTCAGCATGTGTATTCCATAAATAATTTAAAACTGTGAACAATCCCCCGAGATTGTTAAAACTGTGAAAGTAGGGATTTTTACACGATTTAGTTGATCACCTTCAGTATCCTCTCGAGTTGTAACAGTAGTTTCCACAGTTCATCCATTTTTCGTACATCATTAGCTCTCCTAAATTCTGATTGATACTATTAAAATAGTTTTGTAGGATACAAACTGTTTGTTGTAAGTCCTTTTTCTTTGGGGTCAAGTACAACTTTTTTCTTTGCACTTAAAAAATCATTACTGTGGATATAATAAATGGGGTTTCGACAATAAGGTTTTCTGCCTGTAATAATCTTATTAGTAAGTTATTAATAGTGACATTATGTCATAGTATCTTTACATAGTAAATTTTAACCATGTATAACTTCTCAAAATGACTAAAAACAGAAAAACTTTAGCTCTATTCATGTGTCAAGGCATCTAAGAATAGTGGGCTCCTTACCTTAGGAAGAACATTGAATTGTTGGAAAGGTTTGGGAGAAATGCTTAGATGATGCGTGGCTGGAGAGGTTATCATATATAAGTACAGGTTAACATCTCTTTAAAATTGTTAAAAAAAAGAGTTAGAGAGGATCTGATTGAGGTTTTTAAGATTGTTAATGGAATTGAGAGTGTTGATGCATCGTCTTTTTTTGTACTTAATGTTGAGAATGTTAGGACTAGAGTACAACACGAATATAATTGCAAGGGTGGGAGTCATCTTCAGCCGAGATAATTTTATTTTTCTAAATGTTGGTCTTTTTTTAATTGGTTGCCTTCAGATGTGGTGAAGGCAGTAAATATAGGGGAAGGCTTGATAGATACTTGAATGATAAAGGCCATATTTGAGTTGTTTCTTTCGTTGTTTAATTTAGTGGATGGAACAGCCCAAGTCTCTTGTTGTCATTCAATGTTATGTTGCTAATATTCTTCAGACAACTAGACATCTTAAGTTTTTGGTGAGTTGTGTGTGTTGCTAATGGATCTATAGATGTAGAATGTGTATATAAAACTCATTATGAGAGTGTTAAAATAACTGTTACATTTGGTATGCTAAAGTGAATATACCTGTGTATAATGCAGTGAAAATTGATGTTCAAAACACAACTAGACTTTGACTTAGTTGAAGGGGGGGTGGCATTTGTTGAGTGAGAAATGCATTAATGGATTAATCACAGGATGATATAGAGAAGATGATGTGTGATGAACTTACAAATATCCTAAAGTTTAAGTTCGTAATCGTGCACTTCGGTAGAGTACATTTTTACAAATTTCAGACAAAATTAGTAATAAATAATAAGTTTATTTTTTTACATATCGTTTATAAGTTTTATCCGTTTCTGCGATTATTTCAGAAATGTCTGCTCGTGGGTCATATTTTGAATTTTCTTATCATGTTGAAAACCTGCTGTTCAAAGGACTTGGTTCGTCAACAGTTGGAGGTGAGTAGGAAAGACAATTAGAGTGATAGACATTAAAAATATACTCTGATATCTTTGTAGTTTTGACATGCTTTTCATCATCCTTTCAAACATGAAGCCATTTATAAAGGGGAGTCGGTAAAAATCTTTGTGGTTAATTCTCTAGGGTTTACTAAGTGGTCTAAAATGTAGTGCTAGAAATTACAACTAAAACTTTATTTTTCCATAACCCCTTGAATGTATAGAGAAAACAAAAGAAGTTACGTGCAGAACTTAAAAGTTTATTTAAGAACTAATATTTTTATATCTCTCTCTCTCAGCTTTTTAATCAGAACAGATGTGGGTGTATGAAAATATT